TCTCTCTCTCTCTCTCTCTCTCTCTCTCTCTCTCTCTCTCTCTCTCTGTAAATGTGATACAATGATAGGAAATGATAGGAAAACAAAATATATGACCACATAAATCTGCTCACGGTAACAACTATTGTATATACAAAGAATAGAACAGAATTGACGTTCGATACTAATAGTCATTTAATATGTAAACATGTAAAAAGTAATGGCTGATACAATGGCATAAAAGAGAGTGAAGAACATTTCCTGCTTATTCTCGCCTTTACGGAATGACAATAAGCTCATGCTTAGACTCAACCGAAGCTATGGTCTAAAGTGCTCGAACGCGGTTCGTCACAATCATGCGTCTGAATAATCAGCTTATACGACTGTTGCTCGGGAAAGCGGCAAACTCAAACGCTATAAATTGAAATAATTTTTGAAGAAGCATTTCTTTGGCTGCAAACGTTCTTGACAAAAATTACATTTGCTTCGTAAACAAAATTAAATTCAATTACTTTACAATGAATTAAAAATGAACGTTTAACTAATCAGTTAGTTGTCGTGTCGCCTCTTTGAAAAAAGTGCCACAATTGTTAAGTGGACTCGTTGTATGCTCGTCATAACGTATGTTGTTATCATTTTTTCCACGACGAGTATACTCGCCAATGACATTTAACTGATTAATGCGGTGAAGAAACATTTTCATTGGTGACAAAAAACAAAAGCGAATTTGCTGTGAAAAAGTAAAAACACTTCATATTTCACTTCTTCACGGACTTTTAAATCATTCTCTTTTTTTTTTTTACTGTCATCCGAGGCAGGAGTTACTTCTGTTGAGTATTAAGAAGTTTTTTTTCCCCTCACCTAGCTCGGTATAATTTTAATTATTTCATCGGATATTATTAAGTTTTTACAAGTCGATCTCTAATTGTAGCACGATATTTGGTCAGTGTTAGAGTGCAGTTACTGCGCTAACCGTATTCTATGTTGTGATTATAATAAGATGAACACGTTTTCGTCGAACACTCGTCCATTGACGTCCACATATTCTTCAGTAGTCTATTGTTGATAAGCAAATGAAATCAATTAAAATTCCATTATACAAATCTATATGAACACATAAAGAGATCTCCCGCCGATGGTTGGTTCTTTTTAGGATTAGTTTGTTTTATGGAGACAAATTTGCTCTTAAAAATGTATTCTTACAAGCCATTAAGAAACTTTTTCTCTGAACGCATCACTATTTTAAGAGTAGTGATGGTCATATCAACCCGATCCGAGTTCGTATGTTTTACAATCCCCTAATCTCGGAAATCCTCCCCATAACTTTATTTGCTTTTTCTTTATATCAAACAAGTGAAAGCGTTATAGCAAAACCGAGCCCAGCGCCACTATTGTCATTCTTTAAGATAAGTGATGGAAAAAGTAGTCCGATGCCAACCATTTTGAATAGTGTTCGTCCTTGCCTATGACATGTCGATGTACTAAATTTCATTAAAAAGGCTCGAGAATTGTGACCCCGCAGATTGAACGTAAGAAAGCAAAACGGACAGACGGACAGACAAGCTTAGATTGATTCAGAAATTATTATATATATATATATATAATAAAAGTTGGAGTTATCGCAAGTAATTCTAAACGCACAAACTAAACTAAATACACCCGTCTACCACAAGTGGTATAGAGTGTAATAATAATAATAACCATAGTAGTAACAGGTCAACGCGAAAGTCCTGACAAATTTTACATACAATGTCAAGTCCTACAAGTAGAATACCTCATTGAGGGTCCTATTATGTAATGTGCCTCTTATATATAGGATATAAGAGAATTACTTCTAATATTCTTCATCAGCAGAGTGAACAAAATGCAGTAAAGACACTACGTTTGGCATCAGTTTCGGAAAGGAAGCAACGCATCGATTGCTTGTAAACCCTTATTTGAATCACTGGGGAGTACATCTATCAATGTTCGGACCTGTCTAAGGTGGTTGGCCAAATTTCGTAGCAGAGCTTTTAGTCTAAAAGGCGCGAGCGATAATAATATTTCGCGGTCACTCTTGAAAAGTAACTCACATCGAACCACTTTGCAATTGCAATCGAACTTGGCGTCCATCATTCGACTGTTGGGGGACGCATCAAGCATCTTCAAATTCGAAAATTTCACTTCTCTTATAGTATATCGTTTATGGCAACCGATAGTTAAACTGCGATTGGATTGCGCGAAGGCGTACAAAGGTTGTGCGTACAGCCGCAATCTTAACTTCCTAATGCTGTAGATTTAATCGATCCAACAATTAGTTTAGAAAAGAAATGCAACGAAGTAATAGTTTATTAATTATTATTGGGCCCTTCTTTGACATTACATCGCCTTATCTAGCGTCGCATTACTGTACTTTGTTTATTGTTTGTTTTATTTCCTGATTTGTTCATGCGGCAACTTAAGGCATGAGTTTACATGAGTTATACCTTTTATAGATAATTTAGCATTTCGCTGAGAAAATTCAAAAACAAAACAAACAAAATTATATAAATGTAGGCTGTGTGTTTTTCTTGTTTCTTTCTCTTTCAAAACTATTCGCATAGGTTTGTATAATATTTCAAGTACTTTTGTTACTAAAACAGTTCGAATAAATCAAAAAAAAAAAAAAAAATGAAAATAAATACAAATAAATAAATAACAAAAATCCTACACTTTTACCTTCACTTCCATAATGTAAACAAGAACATAGCAGCAGTCTATCCATTTGCATACTTGTTAATTGAAGAATGTTCGAAAGTGGGCGATCGTTAATGATAGATTTCGATTTTTGTTACAAAAAAAAAAAAAAAAAAAAAAAAAAAAAAAAAATTACTATAAATTTACTTATATTCGTTTAATTTGAAAATAATTAATATTATATTAATTTTTCCATTAACATGATATATAAACTATATATGTAAACATATTAAAAGATGCTAAGACTCAAATCTCGAGTACTAGCCATCTTAACGTCGTCATGGCGTGAAGATGAGTGAAGGGAATGGGCAAGCGGAATAGGAAAACCTATTCGATTTGATAAATGTTTGTAACGCATAGAGTCTTTGTTGATACAGAGAGAGTGCGTAACATAGAGATATCCTTGCTTGGGATGCATTTGCTTTGTGTCTCACGGTAATTAATGACTTTTGCAAAATGATTCTTTAGCATATGTCCGTCAAATTTGGTTCATAAATCGCTCGGTTCATTGACACGCCTACATTTCAAATTGCTTACATTAATTTCGATCTCTCTCACAAATAATATGAGAAATTTGCGATAAGATGAGAAAAATTTTATCATAAAACACATCTCCATTAGTTAAATGCATAAACATTCTTCTTAACTTCATATATATGTATATGTTTTAGTTACTTTAATCCACTGCAACGACATAACATTATCATGTCCATAGGAAAGTATCATTAATAACGCAAAGCGTTATTCACAAAACCGGTAACAAACAAACAAAGTACACAAGTTTGCTTGTATATGCTTTCCTGCATATACACACATAAATGTATGTTATGTATATATATATATATATATATATATACCTCAGATAGGTGCACGAATGGACATGTGCATGTGTTTAATATGCATTATGCTTTCATATACGTTATTGTTGCTTAAAACCATCAAAAGAACGAGTATAATAGAATGAAGAGCGTTTTGCGTAAAATCCGTTCGAAAACAGGCTGCTTAACATGCATTTAGAAAGGCTAACTAATAAACTTGTTAGGAAATTCTTCATTCGATTGCAATAATATTTTCCATACATTCATTCATATTTACGTCGACAAGTGCATTTACAATGCATATCCACGACTGATGAAAAGGTTAATGATTGTTCCAACTGTGAGCAAACACCCATTGGAAAGAAAGTCGAGTTTGTCTTCACCAAAAAAACACAAAAAAATAAAAAATAAAAAAAAAAAGAAGAAAAGAAAGAAAAGCATTTGATAAATTTTGCCTTTCATAGACTAATTATACATATATACATATATACTAAGTGTAATTGCAATTTGGTTTTTTTTTTTTTTGCACAAGACATAAAATCGCTATAAAAATTCCAAGAAAAATTTTTTTTTCCGGAAGTTTTTGTAAAACATCATAAGAAAATATTTTTTGCTTTGCATCATAAAATCATCAGATACGTTGTTGCATAAGATCATTAAATGAATATTACTGTGGATATACAATCAATTAGATAATTATGTAGAGCATATGGCTTCTTGCAATTCGCTGGCAGCTTCCCTAATTTCCAACTCATGGAATCGTGGAAATTAAACGACAAGTCTTTATAATCGTCACTATTAGCGAACACTATTCGTATATGGTTTTGATAATGAGGGCAACATTCGTACAATACAATGAACACTTTAAGAGATGGCAAGATGAGAAAATCACTTGAAACTTGCTGGCCCTTACATGTCGTGTCTTTTCAAAGAGAGAAAAGATAGTTAATCTGTACCCAGATGGCAAAGACGACAATGTTTCAAGGAATCGGGGAACGTGTCATTACCTTCTCGATAAGGGAGACTGTTTGACCTTAATTGTCGTTAAACAATCATTTATCAGTGATCTATTGTCTCGTTGCATTAAGCTCATTGTACTATCAGTACCAAATATGCCAACATAGGTACAGATGTCTCGCTCAACTGTCTGAGAAGTCTCTCGCGTAAACGAAGTTGCCAAAACTTTGGCAGCTTTTTCTTCTTCTTCTTCTTCTTCTTTAAGATTTGTTTTAATACGAATCAAGTTTTATTCTTTATTCATTTTATCAAAGTGCTTGCAACACCCAGAAGAAGGCTTAAAATTTTGAATAGATTTAAGC